TCTCTCTCTCTCTCTCTCTCTCTCTCTCTCTCTCTCTCTCTCTCTCTCTGGCTGTCTGCTCTATGCACATATCTGGAAACTTTATTTGTCAACGGGACGCATATGTTGTGTGCTTGCGAAAAAAAAAAAGAGCGAGAGAGAGAGAACAAAAATGGAGGGAAAAAATATTAAATAAAGGAATCATATCCTGGCTTACGCTCGCATTCGCATTCGCATTCGCATTCGCATTCGCATTTGCTTTGCTTTGCTTGTCTGTTTGTTGTTGCATTTAATTTTACTTAATTTGATTTTGGTGGGCTGAGAAGACGTTTGCAGCAACTGAGCAGCACTGAGAAAGCCTCAGGAATATGTGTTTTATTTGTATGATTAATGGCAGAGCTCAAATATTATTAAGGATAGTCACAGCCTGCAGACCATATATACGGAAATACTTTAAAGAGTATGGAAAGTTGATGTCAAGAATCCAGTTCGAGTCGGTCTTTCGCACTTCACTTGAATCAGACGCGCTGCAATTGTGGGATCACTCGACTGCAGCGCCGAGCTCTGGCCGGGCAATAAAATGCCACAAAGCCTTTTTCTGACAAATGAAACGTGATACAAACAAGGCGCCAAGGCAGCCACCGCAACGAGCCGGGCGCCTAGCTCCAAAAGTCTGAGCTCCGAGCCGAGTGCCAACAAAGATTTATGCATTTTGCAGTGTGTTCGCTTTATGCGAAACTAAACGGCAAACAGTTTGAGTTTGAGTGAAGAAAGGCACTGGTTGCGCTCGGGCTGGGCCAGCAGGAGTCGGGGGTGGGCCATGGGGCAAACATGTTTTGCATGTTGCTTGCCCCGCAGCCAGCCAGCTGGGCTGGGGCATGAGTCCATTGTGCCGCTTAATAGACTGAACTGCAGCAGGAGCTGGCAGCTGGCAAACATTTGTGCAGCTTATTAATATGCAGCCCATTTCAGTCTCACGCAGCTAACGGAGATTAGACTAAGAGCTGCTGCAAGGCAGGTGCAAGCCAGCTACGACCGGCTATCGTCAATTTTATCTACTAGGCCAAGCGCAAAACTTTTGCGCTCCGTATCGAAAAGTCGTTAGTAAGCTGACCGCAAAAAGAGATGTGGGCAAAACGCAGTCGACAGTGGAAAGTCGAGAGTCGAGAGTCGAGAGTCGACAGGGTTGCTCGGCTAAGGTTTTACTGTAAAACAGAAACCAAAAGACAAAAAATAAAATAAAATAATAAAAAAATTAAAGTTTTTCCAAAGACTTGCACTTAGCCTCAAAAGTTTTCTACACCAAAGTTTTCTGACTGAGCTTGTCTCTCGGCTCTCTAAGTAGATTTGCTGCCCCGGCCATATGTCTGCAGCTAAAAAATGACTGCCTTCCGGGTGGGTGGCCAAAAACTTGCCACACCCCCATCAAGTAGCTGCATAATGGGCGTAATAACAATGCGAAATAAATATACGTAGAAGCGAAAGTCTGGCATTGGAATGCCATTACATGCGGAATTAAAATAGCATTTTCTTTGCTCTCTTTTTATTTTTTATTTACAATTTGTATTATTTTTAATTAAACAAAATTTCTGCTACCTTTGGTGGCAAATAAATCTTGGTTTAAATTAAAATTAATTAAAATTTAAGTTGACGAAATTCCAAAATTATTTTCAATTTTTTTTTTTAAATTATAATTTTAGCAATTAGAATATAATTTATAATAAATAAAAAATATTTATTAATTATATTAATTGTATTTTTTTCTTCAATTCTAAAATATTAATAATTTATAATAATATTACTTATGGCAACTGAATTTAATTCAATTTAATTTAATTTATAATGTTATTTATATTTATGAATTTTAATGTACTTTTGTTCCTTTATATTTGAATTTTCTTCCATAGACATCGTACTTCAGTTCAATATACTTCAATTCAATTCGAGCACTGCTACATACAAAAATACATACATACATATATACATTTTCGTAATGATTATAGTGCAAGATTAGCTCAGAATGAGGTCGAAAGTGGTGGATCTCCTAAAGAGGAGCGTCCTGCTGACTGCCACCATCGTCATAATGATTATTTGCCTAATCTGCGGCTCCTTTCTGTCGGGCTATAGGCACAAAGTAAAGAAAATTGTGGGCATTATGATACACTCGTTTCTGGCGACGGTATTAATATTCGTGATTTGCGACCCGGTCAAGTTTCTCATTCTGGCCGTGGACAAGGCCTGGTGGCCGAGTCGCCACGACAGCTACTCGGTGGACCGGACAGCCAAGATTCATACGCGCATGCACTACCTGAAGATGAGGCTGAAAATTCTGCGCTCCCAGCTGGTGGCCACGGACAAGCACTGCAATGAGCCCCTGAATCTGCTCTACCAGTCGATCACGAACGACCTTTGGCTCTACGGCAGGTACTTCTTTCTGCTGATGTGCCTGGTGGTGGTGACCTGGGACCAGCTGCTCTGCTACAATACCAAGCACATGGAGGCTCTCTTTGTGCGCAATAATTCGCACGGCTGGGGACTGGAGAAAGTGCATTCGTTTGCTGACTTCTATAAGTTCGTGGAGTCGACACTTGTGGAGCCCTTTGACCCAGACTTCGAAGAGACTGGACTGAGAACATGGCTCTACGGCGATCATACTGCCAAATTGGGAGTTGTTCGGTTACGCCAGCTGCGTGTCAAGGAGGGCTATCACATGGGCTGGAAGGATCTGGAGTATGAAACCAGGGACTATATGAGCCGATGGCAGCTCCCCTACCAACAGTTGCCGTACACGAATAAATATTGGAAAATCTACACACCCTGGCTGCCCATCAATCCCACCCTCTCCGCCGAAAACAAGTTCTTTTTGAACTATGTCCATCAGGGCTATGCGCACGACTTCAGTGAACTCGACGGCTACTCAACGCTGCTCGCACGCACCGCCAACAGCAGCAAGTTGGTCATTAACTATTTGACGGATCAACAGTGGCTAACACGCTCGAAGACCTGCGCCATATTCGCGGACTTTACGCTCTTCAATATGGACGCAAACATGTTCACCGTGGCCACGCTGACCGTCGAGGTGACGGCATACGGAACGTTTGAGTACGCCACGCACATTGAAAGCGCCAAGCTGCTGATGCTCGATGATTTTAATTCGATATACAAAATATTGATAGTGTTCCTTTATATACTGGTGTTCTTGCAGTTCGGCAAGTCGGTGATCATTATGCTCTGGTTCGAGCCGAACAAGCTCCGCAGCACATGGGTCAAACTGGATTTAGCGATCATCCTGCTGAACATCACGCTGATCTGTTTGCTGGTCACGCATCAGATTCTATTGAACAGTCGGCTGAAAAGGGTGGAGAATGCCAACGTCCTGGTGTTTATCGACTTTCGCATTCCGGCCCGTGTGCACATCGCAATCGAGGTGGGGTTGGGATTTCTCGTCTGCATTACCACGCTGCGACTGTGGCGCATCCTCCAGTTCGCCAGGGTATTTCAATTGATAACGGCCACGTTGTATGCGGCCTGGAAGGCGTTGGCCAGCACGGCCATGTTGATATTGATATTTCTGTTTGGCTTCGGCATGGCCGTGGGCATCATAAATGGCAACTATACGATCCAATTTGCGAGCCTAACGAATAGCATTATCTCGTCAGTGTGCTTTGCCTTGGGCCTTTCGCGGCAATTAAACCCCGCCGATCTGCTGCATGGCGGCGCCCCTATTGGCCTGGTTCTCTACGTAATACTGGCCTTTTTCATTGTCATTGTGATGATGAATCTATTTATCACAACGATCAGGGATTATTTCGGTCATGTTCGGCGAAAAATGGAGGCCAGATCCGTCTACAATCAGATTACGTTTTTGCAATTTCTACGCGCCGAATACGCACCAATTTTCCGGTACTTTCTCGAGCTGCCCTGCTTTAAGAGGGGCTACAAGAGTCACAATCGCACAGTCCACGAGAACATCGAGATCGCACTGAGGAGCAGAGCCAAGGGGTACAGGCCAAAGCTGACGTTCTATGCCCAAAGCGCGGATCACGTTAAGCAGCTGAAGGACATCGAAAAGAGGGAAGAGCAAATGAAGCACGATAAGTACAAGGAGCGCATTGAGCGGATGCACACGATTGCGGCTCTCATGCAGACCCAATTGGAATTGCTCAACCACATGCTCTTCACTGAGGCGATGTTAGTTAGAGACTCTGAGGACTCACCGTATGAAGCTTCCGAGTCTGAATCTGAGCAAGAAGACAAGTACCGTAGATAAGTAGTACCATAAATAATCGCAATTTGTCCCGAAATATAATAAAGAAATTTACGGCTAACTAGGAGTTTGTGTTTTAATTTCCACTGAATGGATATATTTATGCATATATTAACTGAACTATCTCTTCCCATACTTGATATTTAAATGGGTAAGGGACACACCTAATATTAAGTATTGCAAAAGAAATTATTGTCATGAAATTTGCTTTATATAGCATTTATATTAATATAAAGTATAACAAAAGAATGTTCTTAATAACATGAGGTATACGAAGTATTAAATTGACTTTTTATAATAATAAAAAATACTTTAGTATTTTTATAATATAAATATTATTTAGTAGCGAAAATTAGAAGCCATTCTGAAAATTTATTAAACATGTTTAAAATAAAAACTAATAATTTTTATGTTTTTTTTTTTAGTTGGGTTCATTATATGATTTATTTGATTTATTTATTAACTATTTGTTTACTTTTTTTATTTTACTGATTTTGTTTACCTATTTATTTATTGATTTTATTAATTATTATTTATCATTTATTCAATTGTTTTTATTGAATTAATTTTTTTTTTTTTTCATAAAATTGTTTATTTATTTATTTGGGACCTTTTTTATTTAAAAAGTTTTTGCTACCTTCGGGTATTGTATTCTATTTATTCAGTTATTTATGTGTTATTATTATTTTTTTATTAAACAATATTTTTTAAGCATCTCTTGAGCTCGAACTGAAACCTAGGTGCTTGGCCTTTTTCTGTTCGAGCAATTGGCTAAGTTCATATGAAACTACTCTCCGAAATTACATCATTTTATTTCCGGTGCTGGCAGCACCGCATGGTAGTAAAAATAAATAAAATAATATACAAAATATATATGTATATATCGTGCGAAATTTGTTAATCATGGAGCCGAAAACCAGACGCCACTTACTCATGCTGCTGACCACTGTCATCGTCGTGACCTGCATGGGCGTCATGATTCACTTTTCGGGCTTTGACCATGAGTCGATGACTGCGAAGAACATCCTTCTGGCTGTAGTCATAGTGCTGTTCTTCCAGATGACGATCGCCGACCCAATAAAGTTCGTCATTATCGCTTTGGAGATGTCCCTCTGGCCGCATGCCATGGCCAAATATCCGCTGTACCGCAAGGAGGATGACAATATGAACAACTACAATCGCTTGGATTTTCTGAAGCTGCGCTTGCGGTCAATGAAGTCGAAAATGCGGATCACCGAGCGCTACCGCAACGAGCAGCTGAATCTCGAGTTTCGTAATATTGTTCACGACCTGTACCTCTATGGCTCATACTTTCTGGTGCTGACCGGGGTTGTCCTGGTCTCGCGCAACGAGCTGACCTACTACAATACTGCCACGATGAATGATCTCTTTATGTTTAATCGTTCGATCTACGTTGGCCTCAACGAGGTCTATCATCTGAATCAGCTGTTCGATTTCATACAGTCGTCGCTGGTCGAGGCATTCAAACGGGGCGACGCCGCCGTGGGCATCTCCAAATGGACGCACATCAGCCAGGCGAGGCTGCTGGGCGTTGTGCGGTTGCGCCAGCTCCGACTGGCGAAGGAGCAGTTCGGCTACGGGAGTCCCGAGTACACGGAACAGCCTTACAAGCCCGATTGGCAGCTGCCATATCAGCAATACCATTATGCGGACAAGTACTGGCGTGTCTACGATCCCTGGGTGCCCATGGTGCCAACCGAATTCCTCGAGAAGCTTGTGCTCAACTTCAATCACCATGGCCAGGTGCACGACTATCCCGAGCTGAAGGGCTATGTGGCCTTGCTCGGTCGCGCCCAGCAGAACACCCAGAAGGTGCTTGAGTTTCTATCCGACTACAATTGGCTGACGTACAACACGAGCGCCGTCTTCATGGACTTTACGCTCTACAACATCGACGCCGACATGTTCAGCGTGTGCACGCTGTGGGTGGAGCAGACGCCCTTCGGCGGCATCATACCCAACATATGCTGCGACAGCATTCAACTGATTGTGAATACCTTGGAGATATCGTATACGAGATTGTTGATTTTGCTCGTCTACCTGATCACGTTCTTGGAGTTCATTCAGGCGTTCATCGTGAACATTTGGTACGAGCCGTCAAAGCTGCGCAGCATCTGGTTTAAGATGGACGCGTTCATCATTGTGGTCAACATAATACTGATTGCCGTCATCTTATGGCGGGCATCGATTGTGGCCTCAATGCTGAAGAGGCTGGAGGGCGCCAATAAGCTGGAGTTTCTTGACTTTCGCATTCCGGGTCGCCTGTATTTTCTGTGCAATATGCTCACCGGTTTCCTGATCAGCGCTACCACGCTGCGCCTCTGGAAGGTGCTGCAGTTCGCCCGGGTGTTTCAGATATTCACACGAACCCTGTTCTCGGCGTGGATGCCATTGCTCATCACGTGCTCGACCACTGTCATCTTCTTGGGGGCGTTCGGCATCGCCACATGCGTCATCAATGGTAACAACAACTCGTACTTCATGCATGCGTTCACCAGTGTTGTCTCCATCCTGTGCTTCTCGTTCGGCTTCAAGAGCGAGATCCGACCCGAGGATCTGTTCCACGGTGGCAAGTACCTGGGCGTTATTCTGTATGCGACCATGGGGTTTGTGATCGCGGTGCTCCTGATGAACGTCTTCTCCAGTCTGATGAACACGTATTTCATCGAAGCCAAGACTCTGGGCGATGCCAAGTTCAAGGAGCAAATCACATTCTTTCAGTTCCTGCGCGTGGAGTTCGACAATGCTTTTCGAATCCTTGGCAGGATGTTATGCATGGAAAAGTTTTACAAGCGCAACGGACGAACGGTCGCCGAGAATGTGCAAATCATGCTGGACAAGCGCGAGCGAGAGAATACCAACCCTCCCGCTGAGAAGGACGAGCACTTGCTTCAGGTCGAGTACAGGGAGCGCATTGAACTGACGCTCTCCATATCGAGCGTTTTGAAAATACAAATGGAAATACTGGAGAACTTACTGTTTGCCGAGATCGAGGAGCAGAAAAAGAAGCACAAGAAACACAAACCAAAGGACAAAGAGCCGAACTCGCCCTATGACAGCATGGTATGAGCAGGACTCGGCTCGGCTCGGCTCGGTTCGGCTCGGCTAGAGCAAATAATTTATAATTGCAGTTAGTTTTTGTGTATTGTCATTTTTTATTTTCTCCCTTTTTTTAAATTTTTCATTTGCCATTTAATTTTATTTCATTTCCTGCCCCTGCTGTCCCCTGCTCTGGGTGACTTCACAAATAAATAATTATGCGCAAACAGAGAAAACTTTCGACTTGAAAAGGCTTTTAGGGCAATTTGGTGATGGCTTTGTTGGACTTGTTTGCAAAAACTTGCGGAACCTGAGCAGCCTGGCTGCGGTCCAAAACGGAGTTGACTTATAAGCAGCGCAGCAGCGCAGCAGCAGCAGCACATCGGACTGCCGACTGGCGAGCGCTCGAACAATTGTTATAGGTTAGCAAATAAAAATTTAATACCTCATGCTTTTAGGCTGCTGCCGTTGCTGAAAACTATTTGTGCTGCTCGGTTTTGTGTAATCGGAGGCTGCAGTTATTGTTAGAGCCCACACTAAAAAAAAGAGAGAAAAAAAAAAAAATTAAAACAGTTTCGCAAACATTTTTGATCAACAGCAAATGTAGCTAAACTAAACAATTGCGAGCGGCGCTAAACTTTAGCCCACCCTCAGCAACGCCCCACGCCCTACGACCCACCCACCGACTGTCTGCAACTTTTTTCGGGTGCATAATGTGTGCACATACATATGCGCCAGTGTGTGTGTGTGTGTGTGTGTGTCACTTGGGAGCATTGTGTAAACTTTTATAATTATTAGCAACAAATGAGCAGTGACAGAGCACTCTTGCAGTCAGTGTAACTTTGGCCAGACAGGACACTCTGTCCCACGCCCAGTTGCAGGCACAGAGATCACGAATGATTCCTGCCCGCTCAGGCTCAATATAAAAGTTTTAACTACCTGACTATTCGTACAGCTATACATAGATATGTGTGTGTGTGCCAGACACTAAGAAATAGTGTCCCAATCAAAAGTCCTATAAAGTTTTAAATGCTTTAAGTGGGGGGTGGAGCGATAAAAAATATAAAAAAGGCAAAAAAAAACTTCCTAATGCAAGTGCGAGTCGAGCAAGTTTTTATGGAATGTTTTTTAGTAACAGTGCATTAAATGCATGTTAACATATTTTAGTGCCAACTTTAAATTGTTGAACTATGCAAGTAAGAGAGCTCTGTCTGCATTTTAGACTCTGTAATTGAAGCAATTCCAAGAGTAACTTGAGTGGATTAAAAGCAGCACTGACTGCATAATACTCACTCTTGCCTCAACTTTAAAATATTGTAGAATAAAAAATGGATAAATCATATAAAAAATACCATAATTCACCACGATCTTTTATAAATTTATTATTAATATTTTTATATAAGAAAATTAATAATAGCAAAGTCCTCCACTTTCAGCAATAAGCAACAAGCAAGACAGTCAAGAACTGACATTTTTTACTGTTTCATAAAAACATAGCTGTCAAATACCTGGAAATATTCTACAATCATTTTGCTCACAATGAGGCCTTGACATAACTGTCAAAAACGAAACAAGGCCTATGGCCCTTTTGATTTTAGCTACATTTATTCAGTGCCCCTTGGCGAGGCAACATCGGCTTCAATTTTTCCAGCGCTTGCTCAGAAATAAAATATTTGTTTGTAGAAAGTCTCAAATGAAGGTAAAAAGTCCAGCCGAATATTGTTAGAATATATTTAGCTGCGGCCTAAAGCATGGCAATTCCTTGAAGACGCGACACCATTGCAATGAACTGCGCTATTCTTCAGGATATGCTGGGAAAACTTCCTGCACATCCGGCTTTGGTCAGGATCCGGCGGTCTAAGACAGCTTCGGAGCCTATGTCAAATGATAGCATATAATGATGGATGATGGACCAGTGGACCGTTGGTCATGTCCTCTTGTCTTCTCCCGCTTAAGAGTCTTCAGGTAATTCATTCCCATATATTTATTATTTAACAATTTAAAAAAAAATATTTTTATTTATTTTTTTTATCTAATTTATTATTTTGGTAGATTATTATTGCTAAATTTATTTATTTGTTAATTTCTTATATCTTACTATATACATTTATTGAAAATACCGTCGACAACCCACATAATCTATATACATCATCAATATACATTTGCTGAAATGTTATTTCAATTAAATGCCAAACAAATCGAAATTTATTTTTCAACACTGTTTTTTGTTTTTCTGTTGGCGCTGTGTGACATTTTTCAGCACTCGTTACGTGTCAAAATTGATGAAAAACAGAAACCATGACGCGGAATATAAAGATAAATCAGAGGCCCCACAAGAAATCCAGAGCCAAATCGAGCAATGCCGATCAAAGACAGCAGCAGCCGGTGTTGCATAACGGAAATAACGCGCAGAAGAAAAAGCACGAGCATAAATATTGCCGAAAGCACAAGCGAAGGCACAAACGAAGGCACAAACATAAACGCCCCAAATCGCCCAATGCAGTGACAAAGCCACGGCGGGCGTCATCGCAGTGGGCACCACTGCGGATGGGACATGCTCAACTGTACAATGAGTAATAACTATACCAAGCTCTTCTGTTTTTAATGTTATTATTATTTTAATAGATTGCCAGATGCTAAAAAAAAGGAAAAGGAAAAGGAGAAGGAGAAGGAAAAGGAAAAGGGAAAGGAAAAGAAGTTACCTGTCGCCTACATGTTTCCTCGTTCCGTGTTGCATTTTGGGTTGCGCGGTCGCCCGGCGGAGCGCGTCGAAAGGTTAAACCGCCAGTTTTCGAGCTACCTCATTCCCAAGCTGAAAACCTCTGAGCCTATTCGTAGGCGCAAGTCAAGGATTGCCGAAAAGGACTCCCATGATATGGACGCGAGCTCTGAGGATCCATTGGCCACTTCGAAATCCGCTGAACCGAATTTGCCCACGACGGAGGAGCTTTGGCACAGGTTCGAGGCGTACGATAACAGCCAAACTGCCGAGTGGCCAGCTTGCTGTTTAATTGGCACGAGCAGGAAAGATATCTTCCCCTATATGTCCTCACCGTTGCCCCCACCGTTGTTCTCACCCGTGTTTCAGTTGTCGCCGAAACCCAAAAGAGAATGCGACACCCTGCTCACCCTGGCCCAGAAAGCCGACATCGATGCAGCCATCGCGTCCATCGACAACGACAAATTCCCCCACAGAGACGAATGGGAAAAGAACATGGAAATGCAGCAGCAGCAGGATGTGAACCACATTCAATTCGATAGCATAAGCCTCGGCCTGGAAGAGGAGCGAAGCCTGACGGACTTCCTGAAGTCGAAGCGCCTGTACGCGCCACTCAGCGACGTCCACGACTACCAAGTTATGCTATCAATGGTCGGAGATGAAGACCAAAGAGAAAAGCTGCGTGATATGCTGATGCCCAAGCTATTGAAACAGAGAAGTTGCCCAGCCTCAACAGAACTGCCAGCGTTTGTGGATCCAGATGGAACTGTTCTCTCAGAGCAGCCGCCGCCGTCGTCGTCGCCGTCGGCGTCCGACCCAGCTCTAAGAACACCACCACTGCCCCCACCGCCGCCACTGCCACCACCTCCGCCACCGTTGCAGATAATAACTTCAACTGTGGAAATTTCAGAGGCGAATCCGCCCATCGTGGTCAACAATGAGGATCTGCAGAAGGCCATCGATTCGATAATCATTGTGGAGCCACCGGCGGAGCAGCTACAGCAGGTAAATATCAATGATCTGATTATATTGGAGAATCAGCCAATCATCGAGACAACGACGACGGATCAGCCAGTGATAGTGAGTGTGAACGGGCTGCTGCCGGAGGACGTGGTCGTGCAGGAGTGGCTGCAGAAAGTGGGCCACGATCTGTCGCTCGTGGTGCAGACCCGCATCGAGTCAATGCCCGCCAGTGAACAGCCCAAGGCAGAGGCCATCGACTACGAGGCAAAGATCAGCGAGTGCAGCCAGCTGCAGCCCAGCTGCAAGATCAACCCGATAGTGCCTAAGATAAACGTAGGGCCGTGGCAGAACAGCTTTCAGCGCCGTTTGCAGGACTTTGATGAGCTCGTGGATCAGAGCATGAGCGAGTTTCGCGATCCGCAGAGCAAGCGGCCCGTCAAGAGGAGCCTGGAGAGCCTGAAGCGGGTGCTGCAACTGCCGGCGCTGCCCTCGCACCTCGATCAGCGACTGCAGCAGCTGCGGATCCTGCGCCAGCCGATCAAGCGCAAGGCGGAGCCCATGGATATGCTAGTCGAAATGAAGATGGTGCGGCTGTACAGCACACTGCAGGCGAATCGTCGCATCGATGTGACTCAGCTGGCCCAGGAGCTGGACAATGCGATCTTCAATAGCGATGTCCAGGTGCTGCAGCAGAACTTCGAGGGCGGCCACATGGCCTGGATCTGGCAGAACGGCAACATACTGATCATAAATGCGCGCAGCAAGGCGGTGCTCCTGGACACCCAGAGGGCGCTGCTGGCCAAGATTCTGGGCAGCGCCCAGAGCTTTCAGCTGGCCCACTGCAATGCCGTGCACTCGCAGATGGTGCACATCGCCCAGCTCACCTGGCAGATCAGCATCGATGACTTCAGCCAATCGTATTCACTGGGCGCCGAGCCGACACACGATGGCATCAAGTACGTCCACTATGTGAACAAGATGGTGCCCGGCGTGGTGGCCAAGGTGTACGAGAATGGTGCGATTCAGGTCTACGCGATGAACACATCCCTGGCCGATACCATGCTGGAGAAGCTCTACCTGCTCACCGCCAACCATCGTAAGCCCAGGGTAATAACTGTGCCCATGAAGCCCATGAAGCCCATAGTCGATGGTAGCGGCACATTCGTATCACTTTATCCCACCTGACGTGATATGTATGCAGCCTTGCAATTATCGCTGAAATGCAACACTCTACCAAACTGCAACTAATAAAGAATTTCGCATAGTCCTCTGCTCTTTCCCGTTGAGTTTAAGAGAAAAGCTCTGCAAGCAAAGAGCGCGCTGAATGGAATGGCATGCAAAAAGCTCGCTCGAGAGTCAAGCAGATGCTCTCTCGCTCTCTCGCCCGCTCGTTGTGTGTGTTGCTCTCTCGGCTGAGCTTTTGGCAGCTGGCAGCTGGCAGCCCGCAGCGCTTTTTGGGTTAAAGTCGTGAGTGCTGGCCCATCAAATATGCCGTACGACGGACAAACGGGACTTGCTAAGCGCTGGAATTTAATTCATAAGTTAAGTGGCGTGTCCTCGGCCGTATATAGCCAAGGTTAAGTGTGGCTCACTGCAGCGAAACACGTCAGCACCGGCCCTTCGTCTGTCCGTCCGAATCCCGATTCCTGTCGCCCACTCGCTCAGTGTGTGTGTGGGTGTGATTGCTTCTGCCCTCGAGTGGCTGCCTCCTCCGCCGTAATTCCTCTTTTAAGGTTTTGCTGCTTGAACACGAAACCGCACACCCCCGAAACTTCAATAATTGCCTGGAAATATAATACACGGCTCTCATTGTCTGGCTGTTTTGGCCATTGTCTGCAGGGCTAAAAGCGTTGCGATTGAATCTCTTTGGCAATGCGTGTGAGCGCGACAAACAAATTAAGCAAATGACACCGCGAAACGAGGCCCTGACCAACAGCAATAGCAGCAACAACAATAACATAATCAGACCTTGTCACGCCCACAACAAATGCAAATGCCGTCCCTCCTCTCCAATCCCTGGCGATGATTTGCATAAAGAAATAACCCAAAAGGCGGCTGGGCCCCACTGACCTTTTGTATGCCAATTCGAATAGGGGCGCATGCCCCACCCATTCAGCTGCGCCTCTTTCTGGTTTTTATCGACCTCTTTGATTTGCTTGACACGTTCCAAGCCAACCCACTCGACTCTCGACACCTACGAATAAACAAAAAGCAATGCAGCAAATATTGTAGTAATCAAAAATGCAAATATCACTACGTGAATTGTAAAATATCTCCAATTCATTTTGGGTTACTTTTCCAGGGTATATGCTGTATGTATACCCTGGTGAGCCCGGAGTTCGGGTGAGGCATAGCCCGGAGATAGCCATAAATCTGCCGTTGCTTATCACAAAAAGTTAATTGCTTTCCCGTGCTCTCTATTAATTATATTCCATAATTTGTTTAGCCTAATTAGCGACAGACAGGCGAACAGGATGCGTCGCCTGAGCAAGGACGTTGCCTCGGCCAAAGGTCGGTGTGGGCACGATTTCGAGTGGATCATTGGTAGCGACTCGAATACAAGCAGAATTTTGCAATTGGGTCATTGAAAGTGAATTTATACATATGTAGATATCAATTTATATTTAAATTTATATTTTCCATAATGCAATTAAATGTTTTGAAAGCCTCTGTTAGAGAGGAAAATGTAAATTTATAGACAGCTAAAATTATTGATTTATTTATTTTTATATCAATTACTTGATATTACAATAAAATCTTATTTATCGAAATATCGGTTCATGCATGGTATTGGGTAAAAATTTATTAAAAATATTTAACTCCAGTAGAAGTATCTGTTCAAATTCATTATTAGCAGAATTATTCACACTTTAATATTTATAGACATGCATATTTCTATTTATAAATACGCGTACATACTTTTTTTAAATTAAATATGCACACTGATTTTATATCTATTTATTCTTTATTTATGTTTTTTATTATGTTTTTATTATATTTATTGCTTTTGTATTGTTAAATTTATTTTTAAATTTTATTTAAATCATGAGGGTATTTTTTATTCATTTCACTTTAATAAATTATATCTAAAACAATTCTTTTTAAATTGTATTATTATAATAAGGCAACCCGAATAATGTTTTGTTCATTTTAAATTACAATCTTCAAATTATATATTGTATATTATATATTATTGAATATATCATGGAAATAACTTAAACTTAAAACATCCCCTAAATAAATGTTGATATAGTCTAAATAGATATGCAAAAGAAAATATTTTGTAGAAAGTAAAATTAAATATACAATATCTGCTGACTTTATTTTAAAATTAATACATTTACTTTTGCCTCACTGTACTTGCTGTCTCCTATCTATCGACACTACATATAATCATATCATATATCATATTTAAATCTAATTCAATTATGCAAACTTTGCTCGCCTACACAGTGCTTTATTCACCAAGTAAGTTTCAAGTAGCTCCGCAATTTTCACCTATCTACATATAGATGTAGATGTATGTACATCCATTCACATTTGCATATATCCAGCGCTAATCAAATTATCCACAAAAACTTTTCCCCAACATTATTATAATGTGTCGCTGTCGCCATTTATCAAATTTCTTTACTTAACATGCAGACAAAAAAAAATTAAGAAAATAAAAAAAATGTTAACTTGTTTACATAAATACATGAAATCTACTTTTTGGCTAGTCCGTGTCGCCAGCCATGGAGATGCAGTCGCCGTTCGGAGTTTGTTTTGGGCTGGGCGCGTGATTTTTTAATGCAAAATCCGTGTAGCTGCTTGGCCAGGGGAGGGGGCGGGTAGGAGTGTGTTTTCTCCCGTAGGTTAACAAAAGGCCATGTACCGTTGCTTGTTTTTGCCATTAACAGCAATTACAAATGGCAAACAAAAACGCAAAATGGGCGGCCAACGCGCTGCCCGAACAAGGGCGAACTTTTAATTATTTAGAGGCGAACGCGAAAGTCGCACAGTTTTTCACACAACTCTGGTTGCAGTTGCCAGTTTTGGCCATGGCTCTGACTGCCCGCCCATCGCCCCTCGCCTCTTCCGCTGCAAAGGTAAATTCAATTACGCAGCTGCTGTCATTGTAGTTCGGTTTTTGTAATTACAAACAACTTCACCAAGTTGCAACTAATCAAATTACTCGACTGCCGACTGCCTCGCCCTGCCCCCTCACACTCCAGCTGAGCCTAAACAAATGCGCGGGGCCAAGCAATAAGCGATAACATATGCCAGGGATTTGGCACTGCTTTGCTCGCATGCTAAGGATTTTATCGTCTATCAGCGAGCGCGAGCCCAGAAATGGCTTTTGAAATTGTGCATCAATGCATGAAATGCGCCATGAAAGCATTTCAGATAAACTCGCGAAACTAACAAATAACCATGTGGAAAAGCCACGCGCAAAGAGCGAGAGAGATAGAGAGAGTGAGGCAGAGCATCTGTGTGTATGCTAAGTAAACAGTTTTGAAACATTTAGGCAGTTTAAGGGATATGCAGTCGATGCTGATGATGATGAGTTTTTATTTAGCTTGAAATAGCTTCAGACTCGGCTTACAACAGCAGCCGGCAGCCGGCAGCCAGGCAGCAGCTCCATAAGCAACAGCAGCAGGCAGAGGCAGCCTAGGCAACGGAGCAGCAGAAATTCCATGAGTATAAAGCACATTGCTGGAGCTGGAACAGCGCTCGCACTTGGAGCAACTGAGCACAACAGCAACTGAACGACACCCAGCAACAGCAGCAACAGCAGCATCTGATGAATCCCCTGACAGCAGTGCAAAGCTGAAAGTTGATTTAAAAACGTAAATTGCAGCATTACAAATGTTGTAGTTGCATTTTGCCTTGGGGCTGAACATATTCCAAGAAATAACAAAAAAAAAAAATATCAGCTGCAAGAAATCGAAAATTGACCTTAAGTCTGAATTTGATGAAGTTTTAGGGCATACGACGTGATTTACATTAATCAATGGGAAATAACAGTAAAAAGCATGCAAGGTGTTAATAGCTAAAAATGTTTAAGCTTTAACTGTGTTTACCAACTGCCTCTGCATTTCAATGAACCACAGCCGAATGAAGACGGATTTCGGGTATAAATATGGACTGCCAGCTGCAGTGGGTTATCAATCAGTCCTCAGCTACTTCCCACAGCAGCACCACCAACAAATCCTCAACATGTTCAAATACGTGAGTATAGCCAAAGGAATATCCCTGCAATCAGAAACTGAACTCCAATTATCACCAGGCCGTTGTCATCCTCGCCATCGTCGCCGCCGTCTCTGCCAAGCCTGGTCTGCTCCTGGGCAGTCCCTTGGCCTACAGTGCACCAGTTGTGGCTGCTGCTCCTGCTGCAGTGGTTGCAGCTCCTGCTCCTTACGTGACTGCCACCAGCAGCCAGGTGTTCGCCCGCAACTACAATGGAATCGCCGCTGCCCCAGTGATCGCTGCTGCTCCAGTTGCTGCTCCAGTCATTGCCAAGTACGCCGCTGCTCCATTGGCTGCTCCAGTTGCTGCTCCAGTCATCGCGAAATATGCTGCTGCTCCATTGGCTGCTCCTCTGGCCTACAGCTCACCTTTGACATACGCCGCTGCTGCTTCCCCTATTCTGTTTTAAGAATATTCTGGTTAAATTAAATAAACGAAAAGACTATTGAAATATATGTTGTTTCATATAGAAATCGAACATTTTGTGGGCATTTTGTAAGCTTCAATTATTATGTTACATAAGAAATGGCAAAAAGATCATTTTTATTCTATTGTCACTATTATTTAATAACTTAAATGAAAAGCTTGTCGTCAATAAAATATATTTAATGGTAAATACGAAGTGATTCACATATCAATAAAATTCTGAAATGAAGTGGAGAGCAAAATGTATGAATATGTATTTGCATTAAATGAGTTCATAGAAGAGTTTACGGAGCTCAAAGCTTTATTTCATAAGCTGAGATATGATTGCTAATTTATCCAAGTTTTGAGGAAACTCAGTGGCTCTAGATTGAGAAAAATAGTTTTCTTAATATGAATTAAATACTGCTAGAAGCTGTCGAGATTCATCGGCAACTCACTCTCCAACCACAAAAGGGGTCTTGCTATAAAAACTAAGCTGCTTAGTTTGAATAGGATATTATTTGTAGATTGAATTAAGCCACTTCGAAAGAGAATTGCAAAGTGAAGAGAATGAATGTCTCAAGAAGGCAATGCAGATGTAGTTACCCATGTATGTCTGCCTAGACTAACTCAAGATAATTGCTTCTATTAGCTGCTGAGCTGAACTATTACGATA